GTGGATGGAGAATACACTCTGTAGTTCTGGTGGTTCACAATCCACTGAGATCTCCTTCGAGTCGTTGGATTTGTCCTGTGTCCTGTGTGTTCGTTCTCTCTGTGTCTCTGTCTGTCTCTCTGTCTGTCTGTCTCTCTCTCTGTCTCTCTCTCTGTCTGTCTCTCTCTCTCTCTCTCTCTCTCTCTCTCTCTCTCTCTCTCGTCTTATGTAGCCCAGTCTTCCCTATGGAGCCAAGAAAGGTCTTTTGGTCTCACCTCCTTTGTGCTGTGACCACAGACACCATGCCTGGCTTGTGACGTCCTGGAGATTGAACTCAGGGCTTTGCATACTAGATTGCCAACCAAGCTACATCTCAGCCCTGGCGTGTTTTTTTTTTTTTTCTTTTAAATATATGGTGCTGCTAATGGCTTCTATTTCTTACTGATCTTTAGCTTATTATATCTGTCATTAATGGTGTTGGTGTCTCCTGTTATTTCTGCTAATCTGTCCTGTGAATTTCAGGATATATAAATTTGTCTATCTAAAAGTCGTACTTTGTTGCTAGGAGTAATTTTTTTATTATTATTAATCTTCATTGTCTGGTGTTAGCACTTCAGTTCTATTGATTTCAGGTAGCTTTGGTTTTGTTCTGCTAATCTTGCTTGCTTGTTTTGTGACAGGGTCTCACAATGTACCTAGAACTGGCTGGACTAGAACTCATTATGAAGATCAGTCTGGCCTTGAACACACAGAAATCTACCAGCTTCTGCCTCCTGAGTGCTGTGATTAAAGGTGTGCACAACCATGCAGTTTTGTATTGCTCTTTTAGCTGTCCAGGTTTTCAGATGTGCAGCCAGGACCAAGAATCACTGCTCTGTTAAAGTTCAGGCTCAGGATCTCTGTCTTTAAAGATCATCCCCAGATGCTGATAGGATCACAGTCAGATTATCTGATTATGTTAAAGACATTATAGAAACTTGGATTCTGTCTTAGTTATTGTTCCATAGCTGTGAAGAGACACCATGACCAAGGCAACTTGTAGAAGGAATCTTTTAATTGGGGGCTTGCTTCCAGTCTCACAGGTTGGTCCATATCATTGTAGTGGGAAGCATGGCCTCCCTACCACAGGCTGGAAGGTATGATGTTGAAGTAGTAATAATGATAACTCACATTGAATCCACAAATTCCAGACAGAAAGGAAAAAAACTGAGCATGGCCTAAGCTTTTGAAACCTCAAAGCCCACCCCTTGTGACACACCTCCTCCTCGAACAAGGCCACACCTCCTAATCCTTCCCAAACAGTTCCACTAACTGGAACCAAGTATGGGGGTTGTTCTCATCCAAACCACCACAGATGCCCTGATGAAATTTTTCCAGAACTACATTTGTGGTGCTTTGAAGACCTGTTTTCCTGAAAGAGTTTATTTCTCTTGGGTGGTCCTTCTGGACAGTAGGCAGTGCCTGCTGCCTGACTCCAAGCTCTGAGAATTGATGGAATCCCCTATTACTGAAGGTACCACAAGGGCAATTCTTTGTGCTTCCAGCAAGCATTGCAGCAACAATCGCCAGGACCAACTCTTGACTCCCAGGTCCTACTGCCTTCATGGATTGTGTTGAGAAAGCTAGGTAAATCATCCAGAGAGCTCGTTCTCCAAAGTTTCTTTTCCCCTTTGAGGAGGAAAGTGTTCTGTGCTTTGCACATGTGTGTTCACATGTCTGTTTCCCATCTCAGGAATTCAGACCAACTGTCAGGAAGGGTTCTACTAAACACAGGAAAGCCTCAAAGAGCTTTTCCACCTATATCATCTGACCTGCCCATGTCAAAGATCATTAATACATCTTTCCAGGTCTGAAGATAAAGAATTTATACAGAAACCAGTGCTTTTGGTAGAAAAAGCCTTAGGTCTGGTGGGGGCCATGGTAACAGGAGAGGGTGGAGGTTCTATAGTGTAAAGCATGGTAAAGACACACACACACACACACACACACACACCATATAGACACGCACACATGTGCGCCCGCGCACACACGCATTCAAACACCCATCTAGGGAGACAGAAAATGATTCAGAATGGATTTTCTTTAGTGTATTCAGCTGTGAAAACTGATTCTCACAAGCCCCTTTACCCAACTTCCTTTCCCATTTCTGTCTGCCCTGCTTTAGGGAGCCACCTTCCACTGAGCCAGTGCACCTGAGGTGGTTGCCCCTTGTTCAGGGAATTGTTCTGGGCTGTGCACCCATCTGTTCCCAGTCTCATGGATCTAAGTCCACGTCAGCAAGGTTTCCACTGAGCAGAGAAAGTCTGGAAGGGCTGAGATATCCAATCTACCTATGTTAAGGCCATTTTTACCTTTCAAGATTCAGAAGCCTGGGCTGGAAATGTCTTAGTTTTCTGCTTCCAGCAGCTGGAATCTTCATTTGAGTACACACACATGCATTCATGTTTTAAATGGCCAGGGTAATAGCCAGAAACCCCTTCAGGTTAGAGGAGTTTCCAATCCCAGCTTTGTGTCATTGCCTTGCCTCTTCCCCTTGTCATTCTTGATGACAGGGCTCCTTTTGAAAGGCAGTGCCGTGCACTTTGAATCCTTTATAGTTTAAAGAGCTTGTCCTACAAAAGGTTCTCAACATCTTACAGACTTGTCTTTGTTCAAACTATCCAGAGGCCTTTGATAGTACCGGAGTGTTCAGCTTACATGACCTCATACTATGCCTCTGTGTTCATGAAATCTCTTCATAAGAAACAAATATGGCACCTGCCTTGTCTTTGTAAAGATTTCCTCTGGCTCCCGGGCTGAGTGCAGGCTTCTACTTACTGTCTTAGCCTCACCTCATTACATAAGCTCCATTTTCCCGGTGCCTTCATTTCTCCCAGATCTTTTTAACCTGGCCTGACTGGGAGGCTTTGTACATACCATTCCTCTTGCCCTGAGTGCCCTTCCCTCCCCATCCTTATGGACACATCCCAGCGTTCCCACACAGCTGAAGCAGCTGTACTTCGTAAGGCTTCCCTAGGCTCAGCCGCATTCAGCTCCTTTGCATTCCTCACTTACTGAGTGTCTGCTACTGTTCAACTCTTTAAAAAGTTAAGTGATTTTTTAACAATATGAATAATAGCTAATATTGTTGAATAATACTATATGAGACTAATTCTTATATTGCATTTTATTATAGCTATTATTAATTATCCTATAAAATACAAATATAGCAATCATAGCTTATACTGTCTTCCAGAGAAAGTTTTAGGAAGTTACTATATTATCTCATTCAGTCCCCACAGTAGTCCCGCAAGGTGGGTTAATATGTCTATGTCTTGTGCGGAAGATGAGGTACATAGAGGGTAAATAGTATATCATCCATCACACAGCCAATGAGATTTGAGCTTGGGCAGACTTACACCATTTTTACATCCTGCTCTGACTAACTATCAAAAGCCGTATGGTCTATTTTCCTTGCAACATCCACACTTGTCCTTTGTGTGACATAAAGACAGAATGATAACCAGCCTTGATGAGACAGACTCATAATTCTGCTACTTGGGAGGCTGAAACAGGAAGATTGCAAGTTCAAGGTCAGCCTGGACAATTTAATGAGACCCTGTCTCAAGAAAATTAAAAGCAGCTGGGTATGGTGGCTCATGTCTTTAATCCCAGTACTTGGGAGGCAGAGGCAGGCTGATTTCTGTGAGTTTGAGGCTAGCCTGGTCTACAGAGAGAGTACCAGGACAGCCAGAGCTATACAGAGGAACCCTGTCTCAAACAACCGGATGGATGGATGGATGGATGGATGGATGGATGGATGGATGGATAGATAGATGATAGATAGATGATAGATAGACCCAAAAATGCTGGGGATATAACTCAATGGTAGAGTGCTTTGCTTGCCTACCATACTCTTGAGTTCAATTCAAGAAAGGGAGGGAGGGAGAAAGAGAGAGTGAAGTTAGTAAGGCAAAGCACAGAGCTGCAAGCTGGGTAAGGATGACACTGGTTTGTGCTTCACCTTTGTCAGGGTAAGCATCTTGCAGAACCACAGTTATGTCAGGGAGCCTGAATCTGCCCCAGATATCATTCGTTTGTACACCAGATTCTCTGTTTAAACAACTGGTGAGGCCAGTTGTGCCCCTATCCCCTCTTACACAGTTGGGGACATGGAGTTACATAGGGGAGCTAGGTCTCGGTGATTATGTCATATAGTTGGAATCCCTTGTGAACTTATGAACTCTTTGTGAACCATGATCCCTTCTGACATCCTAACTCTGGGCTGGGAACCTCATATCTGAGACTTAAGAGGGGAGACGATTGGGAGATTTTTTTTTTTTTCTAATTGAGAATCTTCTGGCAAAGCTATTTCATAACACATTTTTCCCCATATTTATGTTTCAGTTAGCTTGCATCTGCTGGCCTTTCTCTCACATCTCAAATAGTCAACATGTTATTTTAGGGAAAAGTAAATCATGGCCATGTCTGATCAATAGAACTTGGAGTCCCCTGCTGCCTTCATGGGGAGCTGAGCCATTGTGACAAACAGGCAGTAATGATTTGCACAGGCTTCCAAGCTCAGTGTGATCTGACTTTCTGGGCTGTTTGTCCTCCTTTTCGAGGCTTCAGTGGACAGGCTCCCCATCCCCAGACTTCTAACAGAGCCCAGGCAGGCTGTTTTTGTGTTTATTTCTTTGCTTTCTTATCCACCAACCAGGAAGTAATTTTTGACTTTGAAAAGGAACCACAGTTTGATGATTTAGAAAGCTAGCTGAGGAACCCAATCTAGTGATAAATTCAGACTGGTTGCTTTTTCTCAGAGTTTCAGGTAGTGATGGCTAAATGCATATGTTCACCTTGGGAGGTGTTCACAATGATTTAAATTGCCTGGATATTGTAATTTTTGTTTCTTTCTAATTTATACTTTTGTATAGCATTCATTCAATAACATTACAATGAACTGAATTATAACTGGTTTGCAGTATTTTTCTTAAGGAAAATGTATTTTTATTTTATTCATTTATTACAAGTGTGTGTGTGTGTGTGTGTGTGTGAGAGGGAGAGAGAGAGGGAGAGGGAGAGGGAGAGGGAGAGGGAGAGAGAGAGAGAGAGAACACATGCATTGGCTATCAGAAGAGGACTTCTTTCAGGAGTCTGTTTTCTCCTCTGTTTGTGGACTCTAGGGCTGCAAACTTGGGTCATTAGACTTTCATGGCAAGTGCCTTTGCCCACCGAGCCATCTTGCCCATCATAAGATACATTTTTTTTTTTTAGCTAAAGAAGAGATAGCAAGTACATTGACTACTAGAAAAAGCATACTCCTGTGACCTTCACGGTTGTTTTCCATTTCCACACTGCTCATACCTGCAGGCTCAGGCACACATGCTTGTATTTCCGTGGAACAGTCTCCATTCCTCAGTTCTACAAACACTAGTCATCTAGACATGTCCTGTCTGTCTCTTGTGGGTCTTCATCTGTACCACTGTAGAGCAGTCTACACCTTAATGTGCGTGAAATGCATAGTTGAGTAGGTACAGCTGCAGACTGTAACTGTTGCGTGGGTTTCCCTCTTGACTACATTTGGAGTATCACACCCCCATGGATACCTGGAAGTCTTATGGCATTAGCATCCATGTAGTTGAGATTAGCTCCCTCTTGAGGACGCCTTTTGAATTGCAAGAGGAGACTCATCTGCCTCCATCCTCACAAGCAACACAGATGGCAGGAGGCTCAGGGACATTTTGTTATTTGCCAACAATGTGGCAGATTTTTTCCTTTAAATCTATTTTGTATATTACACAGGTAAAGTA